CACGGATTGGTGCTCTCCATCCTTCCCCAAGTTTGACTGAGCTCTTGGGTGGGTCTCAAGAATTTGCATTTTACAAGTTACCAGGTGAAGTTGATGTCACTGGTCAGAAAGCGTGTATCCTGGGCACCCTGATAAAACCATATAATACTGCCTTTTCCCGCCTACCTCATATATGGTGGTTTTCAGGAAAAGTCATGAAAATGTTTAACTACCAGAATGATACAGGCATTGACCAGGACAGTACTTAATCTGCCAGAAAGGACCTAGTCATAAATAAGTAGAGCAGCTATAAGATGTGACTCAGCTAAACAGCACACTTGTAAGAGTAATATACAAGTAATGAAAAGGTTTAGCACAGTACTTCTTGTGAAGTACTAAATGTTTACAACTTATCAACAAAAGAATATACTATTGCTAGTTTTTCTATTAGTATATATGTAAAAGCAGTACTATAAAATAATTCAGTAAACCTGACTATAACTCTTAATAGGGATGAAGTGGTTAATTGGTAGGGGTGGGAGAGAAGTTTGAGGATAAAGGGGAGAGTGATTTGTAACCCTGTATTTGGCATACCTATTCTTATAGAAGCTACAAAAGAAAATAAAGCTTAATATCTATCTTGACTGGTGGGAATACCCTGAAGAGAATGAAAGAGGATTTAGGGCATAACTGGGGATGAAAAACTTTGATAAAACCTAAGTGACTAGGGAAGCTTAAATTTTAACTTGTTTTTCTTCTGAATTTCCTTCAAGACGTGCTATTACACAATTGCTTTGTGGGGCAAAATACCAGTTGCCTGCCCCAAAATTCACTGTTCACTAATTGAGCAGCTAGTTGTTCATTTTTGGAAGTAAGCTTTGTTAAACAGTGCTTTTTTTATTGTATTGTCTGCTACTCTGCTTAATGTCATATTTTATTTTTCAGTATTTTCATAAAGTAGCTGGCCAGCTTTTACCTCTTGCATATAATCTGTTGAAGAGGAATCTGTTTGCAGAAATTATTGAAGATCATCTGGCAAACAGAAGTAAAGAGAACATAGACCAACTTGCAGGATGAATCTGTTTGCTTTGTTTGGTGTACAGTATTTTAAAACAGTATCAAACTTTGTTTTTAAGGAATACGGAAATAAATTGATGGAAAAAATTAAATTTTTATAAGGCTCTTCTGACCTATTTTTTTTTCACATGCAAATAAATGGCAGTCAGACTGACCATCTAGTGACACCTTAATTCTATTTTGGAAGACAACTAAAGTCATCTGAAGGTCACAGGAAGTCACTGTCTAATGTCTCTGGATGCCTAGACTCTCCTCCTCTTATGGGATTGTTTCAATACAGGTTGACCATCCCTCATCCAAAACTCTGAAATCTGAAAGTTCTTGAATGCTAACATGATGCTGAAAAGGTTTTGTATTTTGGAACATTTTGGTTTTGGGTTAGGATGCTTGAGTGAAAGTTTTCTGGGTGTGGTGGTGCATGCCTGTAATTCCAGCTGCTTGGGAGGCTGAGGCAGGAGGATAGCAAGTTCAAAGCCAGCCTCAGCAATTTAGTGAGGCCCTAAGCAGCTCAGCAAGACCCTGTCTCAAAATAAAATATAAAACAGGAATGGGGATGTGGCTGAGCACCTCTGGTTTCAATTCCCAGTACAAAAAAAAAAAAAAAAAGTTTTATGCAAACATTATAAAATCTGAGAGACTTTGAAACCTGAAACACTTCTGGTTTTAATTATTTTATAGAAGAGATACTCAACCTGCATTTATTGCATGGGCAACTAAGAATTTGTTTCTTCTGAGCCTTGAGTTAATCAAAAGCTACAGCTTCAAGGATTGGGTTTTTGTGGGTCAGGAGTGTCACAAGTAAACTGACCAGGCAACTTAGGACATGGTAGCTCTCCTCCTGGCCTTGGGCTTATTAAAACTACATTTTAACAATATCTCCATGACTCCTGTTCTCCCAACCAGTGATCCAGGTATCCCAATGTGAGACTGCAAGTTTTCTGTTAAAATCCAGACACCCTAGGCACCTAGGGATAAGAAACTGAGTCTCTTATTTTTGATGGCCAGGTCTTTCCCTCTGAGAGTTGAAAGGCTCCTGACTACGGCAACACCCTAGTGGAACCTGAAGGCCAGGATTTCTTACAAAATTTCTGAACGTTGGGGCCTGTTGGAGTAAAAAAGACCCCTCTTTCCCTTCCTCTGCTATTATTAGTTGCTTATAAAGGGCACTTCCCTACCTCTCTTCTCTGTTCACTCTTTGTCTAAGCTTTCATGAAACACTGATCCAATCTGGATTTAATTAAAAAATCACTACCGGACTCAAGTTTACTTAATGTGAACTCTTAGGAGTTCAACAGTGGAGTTTCTACGTATACTTTCAAACATGTATGTGGAATAATACAACCAAGGAAAAATGAAATTTGTAAAATGATCTGGGAGATAATATATATATTACTTGGCAATGACACAAGACCAAGTTCAAACATTTACCTACTGGCTTAAGTGGGATTCCGTCCAGATTACTACTATCATAATTAGTACTGATCCAGATGACTCCTTTAATACACTGACCACTCCATTCCTTGACTTACTCTTTCAATGACGTAGTAGACTAGGGTTTGACAAATACCTTGTCAGTACCAATAATGAAAACCTCCCTAATATCAATTCCAAGCATTCTACTATCTAAACATCATTTCCCATCTTTTTACTACTACTACAGCAATTTTTCAACCTGACCATACCCCAAGATTTACTTATCTATCTTTTCATTGTACCCAGTCCATTCTGCTTCCTTCTTCACACAGCATTTAGGGTCAATTCCCTGTCATCCTATCATTCACACCTACAGCCTCAACTCCATTTGAGTTATACATGTGTCTGTGTGTATCTGTTAGACGCCTAACCCAAATGAGGAACTGAACTGCCCACTCCTTACCTGAATCTGCTCAATATCAAGGGGCTAGAGGGGGAAAAAAAAAAACAACATGCCAGCTGATCCTATTTTAACCAAAGGTGGCCATGCTGGATGCTCGTTGATCCTGCTACTTTCTCAACTTTGCTTGGGCTTCCAATACTTCAGTTAATTTCAATGAGAAACTAGGAGCCATCAGGAAAACTTCAATAAAATCTCAAGACCCATTCTATGCTGCCTTCCTACATTTCTGTGAATCTTGCTTCATGTCCTACTATGTGTCCAAGAGCCTAGCCTTTCATTTGCTCAAGGACCTCTCTTGCAGATCATTAGTTTTTCCTCTCAAATATTCCCATAATTAACAACAAAAGAAACTAAATTATCCTGCATCTTAAAATCTGATTTCTCTCAGGTTGTAAATTTTCTCTCTATTTCCATCAGCAGCTGCAACAAAAAGTTATAACAAAACCCTTTATAACATATACCTTTTCTGAAAACCTCACAGCGGTCTTTGATTCTTCTTTTAAACTCTGTCAAACCCAATCCAGAGAGGACATTGCTTGCCATCATCCCATGGTCTCTGCTGTGGTCCAAATTATGAGGTATATTCACAGTGATCAACTTTCCGCCCTTATTTTCTTATGTCTGTAACTCCTGAGGGTTGATGACTCCTTGGAATGACAGTTCACTTGGTTTAGATTACCATTCCTTCATGGCACCACTCCCCACCCTCCCTCACTGGTTCCTCTCTTGGCTGGCCCTCACTTCACCATATCTACACAGGAACACGTCAGTGTTCAGTCCTGGGACCTCTTCTCTATCCACACTTAAATCCTTATAATCTCTTACTATCTATGGAAGATGAGTCCTCTGTCTAGCTTTCAGACTGGAACTTTTTCCTGAATTTCATCTTCTATATACTAGTGCCTTCATTGACCCCCCCAAGTGGAAGTCTAAAAGGCATTTCATATTTCACCTGGATTATTCCAGGAGCCTTCTAATTAGTTTTCCTGCTTCCATCCCTTCCTTTTTATAGACTACTCCCAAGAACAGAGAATTTTGTCAAATTACATCACTTCTGCCTCAATGGCTTCTCATTTTATTTAGATTGAAAGTCAAGTTCTTGTGCCCCCTACCTCTCCTTATCACCCCTTTCCCTTTTTTCCTTACCCCAACCACAGTTACCAAAAGTTGATGTTTCTGGAAACTGGCAGGCATATTTGCCTCACAATGTTGGTATGTAATATTTCTCTTCTTGGAACACTTTTCTCAGATGCCATCCCCTTGCTTTCTTTTAGGTTTAATGTTCAAATGTCACCTTATCCTTGAGGCCCTTGCCTGATCACCCTCTATAAAAGCAGGTTACCTGCATTCAAACATGCACATACCTTTTCTCCATTAGAAAAACTGTTAGGATGGGAATTTTTGCCTAATTTGTTCACCTATAATAATGTCTGACATGTAGGAATCATTTTGTTTTAGGTTGATGAACTAATAGTATTCATCACCATCTAACATACTATATATTTCTTTTCCTACTGGAATGTAAATTTCAAGAATACATAATTCTGCCTGGAATACATTAAATTCAATAAACAAAGAATGAACACATAAGTGAATAATAAAAGATCAATCCTGGACTCTTGGTGTTTTCTTTTGTACTAAAAAATTTAATATATTAGAAGACTACTGACATTTCACTCAATTGTTTCTTACCACTCCCTTTTAAAACCTATTAGCAAATTTCCAAGGTAACTTTTTAAAAGCATGTACTTACTTGCTTTCTCTTCATGCATGTAGCATAATTTTTCTTAATGACATTTTTCAAAGTGAACTGAAATGAAACCTTTCTGCAGAACTTCAACTTTCGCTCACAATTGGGGCTGCAAGCCTATTGCTAGTAGCATGTGCTCCTGCTCTTCAGGCCAGCATCTGCCCTTATCCAGCCCCTCGCTTACAACGCACAAGAAATGGCTTTGCAACCTCAGAGAAGTGCTGAGGCTCCCTGTGCCAGTCATACTGGCCTACATGGCATGGGGAGGCAGTACAGAGGGAGGGCTGTCACAGGTGTAATCAAAGGCGAAACCACACATTGTCATAGAGATTTTAATAGATTTTCTGATTAACTCATCACAGTAATCATTTCTACTGTAATGATATGCAGCTTTACTACACTAGTATAAATAAAAACAGATAAATACAGCTCTAGGCAACATCACAGATTAACAAACTAAGCATTCTTCATGAACCAAAACTGAAAACAATTATTAATTAAGAAGAGATGCTGACACCCTTGCCCATTCTCATCATACCTTCTCAAAAAGGGTACTCAAATAAGGCGCTACGCTCATATTGGTCAATTAATTTGCCAATTAGCTAGGCACATGTATTTCATGGTCTCCACTATTTCATCGTTTGGTTGAAAAGCAGACAAACCTCAATAAATCAAAAATAAAAGTGGGACAGATAATATCAAAGAAAACCACTGAATGCATTAAAAGCACAGCACTTTTCCTATATTTCAGCAGGAACACACACCAGAGAAAGAAATATACCTAAGAAAATTTATGCTTCAATGTGCACCCTGAAATGTCAGTCTCTGAAGCAAGATGGGCAATGAAAGCAGGACCTGAAATCAAAAAGGGAAATGTGGAAAATAAAATCCATATGCAGTTTAATGTACAACGACTATCTAAAAAACAAAAACAAAAAAACGTTTCTCCTTTGAAGGCTTGTAACTCATGACAAGCAATTAAGTCATCCATTAGCCATGCAGAGGAGTCCATACTCTAGCAGTGCCGCCCACACTGCAAATACACTTGAGACCAGTTGAAGACATACAGAACTATCATTCAGAAATGACTTCACTCTGGAGAGCTAAAAGAACTCTGAAGGGGCTATGAATAAAATTTGTAAGTCTGCCAAAGGAAGGAAATAATGAAGACAAAATACTAATTTTTGGCAGATAGCACAGCTAACAGTGTTTCATGGAATTCCTAAAATTTTGCTCAACTTTCAATCATCATTCTAATATGGCTTCATGATCTTTTAAGTGTTCAAGATCGTACAGATTTTAGTGATCTTACAGATCCTACAGGTATATTATTACTAAGAACTAGGAAGTGAAGAATCACTTTCAAAATGTAAAATGGCTCATTGCCGGTTGTTTCAGAAAATGTCTGTCTGCAAAAATTCACTTGCCTATCAAAAATGCATAATCATGTGATATTTAGGCTAGTCCTCTGAGTAAACTGCCTTTGCCAATAGTAAATTAAGACCATAATTAAAACAGACATTTCCAAAACCAAAAATTCCAAGCATACTCCAGTACATTTTAACTCAGCCTGCAAAATTGTGCACTGTGACTATTCCAACCATCATTGAATACTTCAAATATGGATGTGACCAACCCAAAGATTCAAAGGTTATGCTCAGATTCAAATTTTCACTGCTACCTTTGAAATTTTATTGTTTTCATCTTGGGGTTTGATTATCTAAAAAAGGCTAATTAACACTTTTTGTTATAATCTACTAAGTAATTTGTAGTGTTTTTAACTTTCTAGTTTTGGGGTCAAAATGGACAGGTCAGAAGACATAATTCAAGAGATGGCAGTGGAAGATCAGAAAAAGGTTTATGTACGCACTGGATCACAGATAAGTAACCACACCTCTTTTTAACCCTTGCTCCCATTGTAAACTTTGTTCATATATCCATATTTGTAAGTCTGAATTAGTCTATAAAAATCACATTAAAAAGGTAAAATTATTTAAGTGCGATATTAACTGATCTGTATTTTATAAATTTTAATCCATAAAAATATAAATAAGAATGGTAAATTTTTAGGAAAAGAAATATACATTTAGTGCAAGTTATGAATTACATTTCATCTTCAGTGTCAGCAGTGAAATATCTCAAGGAAAGAAAAGAATCACTGATCTAATTTCAAGAAAAAAAAATTCCAGTGTTTTAACATGCAATTAATTCCAGTTACAGCTAAACAGAATACTTCCTCCTCTTTACTGTCAAAGCAGCAGCATTTTGTTTAATTATGCTGAACAGCACTTGTATATTATAGAAGTAGTTTTAGAAATAGAAAATTTGCATAAGACCAGGTCACATTATCCATAAAGTCTGAGAGGAAAAAAAATAAAACAAAACTGTTTATACTTTAAAGTCAAGTTTCATTCTTTTTGATTCTGAACCACACAGCACACAAGCCAGGAGATTTCGTTCATGCTTCATCTGAGATTTACCTGTCTGGCAGCCTTTGGTGTGGTGTGTGGGCACTGCTCCAAGCCTTTAGTGATGGTACAAACTACATGGTAATGGCACAAGAAACACTCCCTTCTTGTGATGAAACCTCAGTAAAATCACAGTACATCTCAATATGAGAAAGGACTGCTTCAAAAGGTACACCAATTTAAAGAGGCTTTGTTACAGCTCGGGAGAGAGAGAGAAAGAAGAAATAAAAGGTCTTCTGGAATGTAGAAAGGTAATGCTTAGCTATGTGACTCATGAATGAAACAGAACAGTTCTGATAAAAAAAGGGCAAGACCTCGCAGTCTTACAGATGGCTCAATTCAAAGTAATCCCTCGAGGAACAGGGACCAATAGCATGTCTTTGTAACGCTGGAGTAATAGGCCAGGTGCTCCAGGGCTCTGGTGGTGTCTCCTTGAGGCTCCAGCCTGCACTATCACAGCACATCCTCAGCTGAATGCATCCAGTGCAGAACAACAGGAGTTGGATGCTGCCCTCCAGGTAGACAGTGGAACCTCACTCCTTTCCTTCTCTCTCTCCTCTCCCTCCCCCTGACAATTCCTCCTTTCTACCAGCATTATTTGCAAACCATGTTGCACAAGCCGGCTTTAATATTTCCTTTTTTTAAAGGAGAAAAAAAAGTGGACGACTCCCTCAGGTTAAAGAGTTGTGCTATTCAACAAATGAACTTCCTCTTCTGTTTCCTCTCTCTCCTCATCTATGGGATTCAGTTGAACATTATTGAAGCGGGGTCTTGGTTTGCCGTCTGGGCCATATGACGGAGGATATCTTTTTTTGTTATAATGCCAAGGAGGCGCCTAAAAGGAATAAACAGAAAAGTGCTATTAAAATAAAAGGGAAAAAGAAAATCAGAAGCTAAGTCTATACTTAAATCCTTTTTGTTGACAGGAATAAAGCAATGCAAGCAGCCTGATTTTGTGTTTTCAAAAGTATTTTACTGATAAAGATGATAAAATTATCCAGCAACCATCCTTTGATATAAAAAGTATTATGGCCACTCATAGTGAGGTCCTTCCCACTGAGACTCTGAGGACTGGATGCCTCTTTGAAGCACAGCTATTCTGATTAATATATGCCAACAAAAAAGTAATAAAAAAATAGGTGGAGGAAAGGGAAATGATACTGATCCCATCTGAGAAGGAAAATTCATTCCCATCACATCAAGAAAGCAATAAAAAAAGCCCAAATCCCCTCAATACTTCCATAATTTTGTTTAACTAAAATGAACCAATTTTAAAGAAATAATTCAAGGATTGCCCAGTTGTATGCAGAAGCTTCATGAAAGCACATACAATTGAGATAAAATACATATAAAATAATCAACACAAAACTCCACTCCCAAACTTCAGAACCCCAAGAACAAATCTATAATGCAACCCATGTTTCTAGTATACTGATTAATGTTTTCCTTTTTTAATTTTGGCCCCAATAAATAAGATACAGTGCTTTTATGAAAGTCTTGGGTGTTAATGCTTACATTAAAAAAAAGGTGAGAAATCAAGAAGCAGTCCTAACAGATTATTACAGGTGAAGCAGAAAGCAGAATGAGTAGCTACTATATTATTTTGGTTAGTAGATTTTTTTAAAAAAGGATGCATGAAACACTTGTGAAATATTAGCATACAACAGAAATACATAATCAGTTGTGTACTAAAGCAAACGGGGACAGGTTTCATATACATATGACAATTGCAGGGCAAAATAATTTCAGGCATTAATTGCTAAAGCCAGACAGTTTTTGTTATATGGTAAGATAATTCAAAGTTTATCTGTAGTCATGAAACCACTAGGACATAAAGCCTGTTAAAACAAACACTTTTGACCCCCAAAAGCTGCTTACAGCATTCTAGAGACATCATACAAAAGGGGCACATACATATCTACATACAATTCCCTAATGAAATGGCAGGACACACACTCTGGTATGAAGGGTACAGCAGAAAAAGAACTGACATTATGAGTGCAAATTTATACACATTGTGCTATAGTTAGTGTGCCCATTTTAAAAATCCATTTAACCATCAGCAATTCTAATTGCTAAGCTCACTTAAAATCACTTAGGAGCTTAGATTTACCACAAGACTACCACAGACTAGGAAACATAAAAAAGAAAAAGGGTTTGGGGGTGATAGGGCAGACATCTTTAACCAGTCAGGAGTCTTCTAAGACCGGTGAATCCCCTACAATTGACAGATTTGTCACGTTTACTTTAAGCATGTCCGATATATTCCTCATTCAACTATCAAACTGTTTGCAGTCTTTAAATTGTAACTAATGATTTTGATGAACAATACTAACTTTTGCTTACTTTCTATGAATGGAATTTTACACATATCTAATTTATCTTACAGACATCTGATAGATAACAAAAGTAACTGGCAGCATGGTAGGATTTTTTTGTTCGGCAGGTATCTGGGAGAGAACTGAACAGTTCACAAGTTTCATGCCTCCTGACTTCTAAGGTGTCTAGTGAGGAGATCTGACACATCTAATCACCAAGGGGTCCACGTGCTGCTTTAGTTGCTCGAGATGCTCTAAAATGTTCTTCTTTGTGATGATTCCCAAGACAATCCTGAAACAGATTATTATGCTAATAACTGTGTGAGAAATTAAATTAAAAGAGGTTCCAATCATAATGATAAAGAATGAGAGAAGAAAATAAAAACATGAACCATAAGAATGCTTCTCATGAACTTTAGAAAAATAAAAATGAAAATGATTTAAAATCCCAGGTTTCTTTTGCATATATTCTACTGTCTTTCAAAAGTGACACAATACTGTTTTAAAATATTGGTGGCTTATTCTCCTTTCCAAATTAAAATCAAAATTATGAAAGCTTAGCATGAAGATGACAACAAAAGAAAAATGCTAAAGAAACAATGATACATATCTATAAATTCTTTCGAGATTTATTTTCAGTGTTCTCTCCTTAAAGAAACATATTTTTCTAACTTCTAAGATTCATGGCCGCCATCTTTGGAACTACCTCAGCAGTGAAGGAAGACTTAGTTTTAATGCCTCTGAGGAGATTTGAGGAGGAGCTAAAACTAAAGCAATGTTTACTAAAAAATTAATGCTGACCAACAAAAAGTCTTCTTAATTTACAGGAACTGAATGCCACTTCTTAACCCAATAAAACACATTTACAAGTAGGGATCAAAATGACATTTATTTTATGCAATTTTTTTCTAAAAATAGATTCCCAGTTAACCTGTCATTATTATCACATCAAAGTAATAGATATGAATTCTCAAAACGAGGATACCTGAAAAAACTAGTTAGACTGCTTTCAGTTATTAAAACAAAAGTCTGGTACTGGTTTTATAATGGAAAATAATAAAAGTCAACTGTAATATGTGGCAACACAAATAGCAAAAGTTAAAAAAAAAAATGAAAAAGACTCGAAATTCTGGAAGCCTATCCAAAATGCCCATCAGGGTGATTAGACATTTCCTTGGTGATCTGGGTAAATCAACTGTTCTCTTAAACTATCTTTGTACATTTTATTCTGACTTCTTGAAGAACATCACCAGGGGCCTTCAAAGCAATCTGATCTTATGTCACTTATAAAATAGTAACTTAAAATAATGGCTGGTGTTGGGGAAGCAGGGGGAGTAGAGAATTTGAAGGGCAGAAATAGGTTTTCTGCTCATGTTTTCTCGTTGTTTTAAAAACTTATGTACTGATCCTTAAAAATTCTCAGAGGATACAAACAACTTCCGCTCCTCAAAGCCCAGAAACTGCACTCTATAAAATAAGCATTCAGTCAATAAGTAGATATTCTTTGACTAAAAAAATTATATTGATCAGAGTTAGTCATCCAGTTCATACATAATTCTAGAATACCCTTTAAAAATTTATTTTTTAGTTATACATAGACACAATACCTTTATTTATTTGAGGTTTAAAAAAGAAAAAAAAAGTCATCAATTCACTTGATTTTATTGTTGAAGTAAAGAAATGTGAAAATGTGACAATCTTGGGTATTTAAATAGAATAATACCAGTTTAATTCTCATTTATGCTTTTCTACCCAATTAAGTAGTTAATTGGTTAATTTCAGTTAATATCATTTACATTAGTAAATTCTCAATAACCACAAGACACACAATAAAGAAAATTACGAATTTATAAAGACCAAGTGACAAACTACTTAGAAAATAATCCCTATATTTACAAAGGAATATATCCCTAAAAAGGGAGAAATTCACATAGTTTCTCTCTTTAGTTAACAAAGATTGATTTGAGGCTAGTAAGGCCAGTTTCTGTGCTGCTTTATTAATTTTAAGAAAGAGAAGGAAAGTCAATGCAAAATGCTGTTTCTTTTTTGTGCTAACAAGTAATGATGTAAGAGTTAGTGGCATAAACCAGCATTTCCAGCATTTAAAGTATGTTCTTCTACTCACTTTGCCCCATCAAATAATGACTGCATTTTCAAATACATTTGGAAAACTATGTTTCCTATTATCCTCTGAGGATAAAAAAACTATCAAATATTTTTAAACTTCTGAGGAGTTTCACAAAAAAGAAACCTTAACTTTTTAGACTCCTATGGTCACAAAACTTTTTGTTGTTGTTAGTAACTCCTATTAACATCCTGCTAGCTACATCAAGACTAAAAAATTTTGAAAAATTCTGCTAAATTAAAATATAAAATGTGGGTCATAAATATGTCACTGGTATGTTTACAATTTACAGACACATTTCCCCTGGTTTTTGTATTCCTTTCCTCCTTGCATCAAAGGTCCCAGATTTGTTGTGTCTCTTCCCCCAAATAACTATTTTCCATTTCTAAGGTTCTATAGTATCAACTTTCAAACATCAATAACAACCAAACTCCATGCTCTCTTCTAAAAACCAGAAGACAGGATTTCTTTTCTAGGTTTAAATCATTTAAAATTGAGGAAAAAAAACACCCTACATTCTTATAGAGTTAAAAAAAAAAAAAAAGTCCCAAGAGCTACCTCCCCAAATTATCTCTTTTCTTTCCATGTATATAAATCTATTTTACTGAATATGTTCCCTTAGAAAAAAGCTCCCCCATTTTTCATATAAATAAGCAGCATCAGATATATGTTAAATTATCTACCTCTACTGACTTTACTGTTTTACGCTTTCCTTTAATTTTTTTTTCTTTCTAACTCTATGCTGCCAAAATCAGAATTAATCAACAAGGTGAAATATAAAAAATTAGCCCATGCAGCAGCTTTCTGCTCATAGTTGATCAACTCAGAGAATAACATTTATATTTAATTGACAAACTATGTCAAGTACAGAGAATAGCTAAAAAAAAAAATTGCTTATAACAAATCAGCTTAGATTCCAGTTGAGCCATTTAATAATTAAAAAGGGCCCAAAGACCAGCAAAGCTATATCAAAAGTTACACATTTAAATATATTTATTAAGGTTTTAAATAATGAAGTTTGGTTCCATTATTTTTTAATTAAATAATTTAAACAAAAATAGTTAAGAGTAATATTTTATTACACACATCTCTTCTATTGTCAGTATCAATATTTAATTTTTCTAAGCTTCCTGCCCTTAATTAAGAGCTTTATTCCTTTAATGATTTATTTCATATTGAAGTTATTTTAATTAAAACATGAAAAACACTAAATATAGATCTAACTTTCCAGCTTTCTATTTATATAAATATAATATTTCTATTTCTAACCCAATATGGTCTAGTGTATTGGCCAAGACAATGTTTTAGTAGTTTAAGAAATCACAGAGAAAGAGGGTAAATTCCATTAGTAAAAATTATAGTGTAAAATAGTAGCAAGAGCTTGGGTTTTATGTTAAAACTCTCTGAACTCTAATTACTACATCTGTAAAGCAGGATACCACGATCTACTTTGCAAAGTTAAATGCAAAAACTTGAAGGTGTTCAGTAAATAATTCACTTCCTGAATTGTTCTTCTTCCCTCCTTTCTCTAGATAGAGGTCAGATGTTGTACACATGCTTTGTACAAAATGTTAAAATACAAACTTGCTGTGATTTTCTAAGTGTCTAGCACAGTTTCAGCCAGCTCAGCCAGGGTTAGTCATCCAGTTCATACATAATCCTAGAATACCCTTTTTAAAAAAAATTTTTTTAATTATACATAGACACAATACTTTTATTTATTTGTATGTGGTGCTGAGAATTGAACCCAGTGCTTCATAAATGCAAGGCAAGAGCTCTACCACTGAGCTGCAACCCCAGCCCTGGAATACTCTGTTTCCCCTTTCTAGTCTTTCTATTTCCTGCTTTCATATAAAACAATGTTTTTAAGACTTCTAATAAGGATTAGAAATAAAGGAAATACAGAGGCATAAAGAAAGAACAGGTAGAGACACAGGTCCCAGGCCCAGGAAAAGAGAGCAGGATGATGAAGCAGGAGAGTTTGCTGAGGCCCCACAGCCCTTTGAGATCTGTCATGGACAAACACTGGCAGCTTATACATAGAAGGCAGAAAAATAAATCACCAATGTATACATTTTAAATACCTGAGAGTGTGTGTGGTGTGTGTGTCATAAGCTGTTTATACACAAGATTTATGGATGGAAAAGGTGGACAAAAAGCAACAGAGCATTTGTTAAAGGACATTTTTAGCTAATTTATAATTTTCATTTATGTTCTTTCTTTCATTACATGACAAATCAAATTCTGGCTGAAAAAGTAAGTAGTAAATATCTAGAAAGTTATAATTGTATGAAAAATCTATACACTAAAAATGAAATACTCACAAAAAGGAAATAGGTCTCTGCAGTACTCCATACAGATTAGGCACACTATTCCTCCAAGAAAGGAAATGTTCTACAACCATGTTAGAGATGTTTCAGCATCTCTTTCCAATTATGAAGTACAGAATTCTCGACAAATCCTACTTTATGTTTTGGCAAATTGTAGGCAGTTGCAAGTCTTACTTTTTGGTACTTATGAAACTGAGGTGACTGATCCTGTTTTTATAACAGTATACTAAGTCACAGACTTTCCCTTTGGGAGCTGCCTTACACTCTCCCCTAAGAGGATCCCACTCATACAGATCATAAATTCTGGTTAAGTGAACTGACGTCTGTAGTGTCAGACTTACCCATTGTGAGTTACAAGGCACTGCCTCAGACCCAACTTTCGGAAGATATCCACCACAATTTCCATTGGGGTGTGGTCTGTCACTGTAAAAGGGCTCATGTCAAGGATACTTCGAAGTTTCAATGGCCGAGGACTTTCTGCTGGAAGAGATGGGGTGTGTTGCGCAAAACACACCCGAGAACTGCCAACGATACCTTCTTGTTTTTTTCTGGCACTTTCTAAAAAGAGAGAGACCAAAAATTTTAAATTGATGAGTTTTGGGTTTTTTATAGGCAACTTGTTTATTTGGAGGTAAATAATAAATGTATTCTATAACTTTTTTGTGTCTTCTCCTTAACCAAGAAAGGAACCAATTGAAAAGTGATCTAGTAATTTCTTTTTTAATCAGAATCTATTAATGACCAATAATCTTCATGTAACTAAAATATTTTTGGCATAATTATATCATGATACAATTTTTCTTTACTGAAGCCAAAGCTGTTTTCTAACCTTAGGAAAAAAGGATACATGTTTGGAATATGGAATTTTAAAACATGTACACATTCTGAGAGCTGTTCCTTATAGGAACCCATCATTGAATCAAGTCTACCTCTTATTCTGTATTGGAGATAAGACCAACAAGTTTCTTCCTTCCTTTGACTCTGCTGTACTAACTTCTCTTTCTAACCAACTGGCTCTCTCTTTTTTTCTGATGTTAAAGTGTAATTTTCCAGATGAATCATAAGCATTACAGATGGGAAGAAACTACAATTATGCTTGCAATGGGTACAGACTGACTTTTTGGGAGGTCTTATTTGTAAAAGTTATGTCGATTTCTCTACCTATCTAGCGGGCTCTGCTTCCAGTTCTTCTGTCCTGCTGGTTAGTTCCATTTCCACCTTTGAAGGTGCCATACAAGAAGTAGCAAAGATGGAGAAAACTATAGAGACTACAGAAAGGAGAAGGAAACCCGAAATGTACAGAATACGCAAATAAAATACTCATTCAGCTTCATGTTTCTATTTTAAGGTATTCAAAACCATATGTGTATAAATATGGTATTTGTTTTAGTGAAAACATTTTGAACATAAATTTTGCTGCAAAAATATTTAAGCCAAAATACCATCAGTTATAGACTGAGAAGCTGATATTACCATTCACAAACACTGAAATACTTTTTACTCCTTTTGATGACTAAAGGCCTTTATTTAACAGTGCCGTAACATGTCCAAGTAACAAGGCACTAAGTGAGGAGGTTCTAACAGCCAGTACTTAGGAGGCCACCTTAAAAGCATCATTATGGTATGGGAAAGAAAATGACATATATACAAAATGTAGTGTATGGATCTGTTTTCCCAACAAAATATTTAAAACTTCCCAAAAATAATACTGGTAAATATTGAAGGTGTGTTCTAAAAGTCCTCATGCGCCTAACATTTCTGAGGGCATGTAATGATTGATATCTTGTACTTCTAAAGTACCCCTACTCCCTAAAACCAACATTTTTCCCATCCCAATATTTTTTCTCTCAAGATAGTGAGAAGACTTAAAAAAATTTCTACACAGTCAGTAGGAATATCAATTATTCTTAATTTTAGCACTTCTTTTAGGATTTTTTCCTTTGAATATCTATATTAATTCTCATCTTTTCCTTTTCTTTGGCTGGCTAACAGTAAAATCCAGAGAATGGGTATCTAACAACAAAGTTGCCACGTAAAGGTTTGAAACTAAAACATTTGACTATAGTCAAGTCTGACAGCATACTTTGTCATCCCTGGCAATAACTATTCTATTACTCAAGCAAAAGCAAAACTTGGAATTATGGGACTGCAAATCTTTGAAAAATTCTTTCAAATATGTAGGCTTTTCCTAAACTGTGTGTTCTCTGTAGTTTTTTTTTTTTTCTTTCCTCCCTCCTCTCTTCAATAGCTCTGCAAATTGAATTTCCAGTTTGATTTGAGAAACAATCCCCCCATCTATACTTCCCAGTCTTCCCTTTCAAATGGCACAAGAATTATTTTATAGTCCTTTTGTAGGGGCCACAGAGGTAAACTGGACAGAAGGTAACATGCACCTCACAGAGATATCTTCTGGGATAAGACCAAATGCACAATATTACCAGGTCAGGGTCCTATATAAGAAACTGGGGCATAACAAAGCAATAGTGTAATGTTTCTAGCCTTTATCGCCTTTGGGTGTCAGGGGGAATAAGGCTTAGATTGTGTTGAGAAGATTAAAATTCTTACCTGGCCTTCTTATCAATACTGCAAAACTACTTCCTTTCATTTAAATTGAAAGATAAAACTATATTTAGCAGAAATACAATTCATTAAGGCATAAATTCCTTTCCTGTAGAACATGAGACTTAAAGGAATACAAATTTGTGCTCCTTACCCCTTGCAAACCCAACAAATTAAGATTTTTTTAGTGTAACTAGACCTTTATTTTATTTATTTATATTACATGCTAAGAATACAACCCAGGGAGGCCTCATGTGTGTTAGGCAACCACTGAGTCACAACCCTAGCCCCTAATTAAACTTTATTGCTTTCCTTTCTTCAAATCTATTACATGTATAGACAGACAGACAGACACATGTATTTTATAAAAGGGTACCTATTGCAATTGTTAAGTCTCTTCTGAGGGCAAATCCCACTAATCTCTGAGATTCTTTTGACATTATGACAGGAAAACCATTGTAACTAGTTTCATTAATCATATTTTCTATATCATCCACTGTCATATTGTCCTGTGTCAGGACAGCTAGAGGAGGATCATTCCTTCGAGGTCTCATGACATCGGCAGCCAGGGTGGTATGAGTGAATTCTTCTTTTGCATCCAGAAAAGGGTATCCATTTAATCGGATGTGAGCTTCATAAATGCCTTCTCTGCCAAAGGCATCTCCAACCCATTTACTTGTCATTACTGCAGCCATCAGGGGAACAATATATTCCAAGCCTCCAGTAAGCTCAAAAACAATAACCACCAGGGAGACTGTCATCCTTGTCACACCACCTGAAAAAAATAAGTACCACTGTTCAGAAAAGACAGGATCCTCACCATCACATGTGACTAGAATTTTGTACTAAACAATAGACACAAAATTGTAGCTACAACTTAATGAAAAGCATCATCATCAAAAACTACTCCTCTTAGGACAATAATCACTACCTTTTATAAAAAAATTTTAGTTGTAGATGGACACAATATCTTTATTTTATTTATTTATTTTTTAATGTAGTTCTGAGGTTCAAACACAGTGCCTCACATGCATTAGGCAAGCGCTCTACCACTGGCTACAACTCCAGCTATAATTACTACTTTTAATAAAATGTAGAGAAAAAAAAACAATCTTTGTTTATAACACAGAAGCCTATTCGAATTACATTTCAAAATCTGTTCACCTAATATGTATTAAAAAAAAATCACAGATGACCAACTAAAACAATATTGCCACTTTGGTCTACTGCTGTAGCAAAAACCCAAGTTCACACTTACAAACAGTTATTATTAATTCTTAAAGAATTGGTGAAGCACACCACTGTTGTCTTGTTTGCTACCAATCACAGATTAAGCTCCTTTATGGGTAGAATATCAATCTTTAATAAATTTCTATCCTCTAAATCTTTTGAAAATGAGTAAAATATTTTGATGCCTTGGGATCTATATTCACAATATAAGTAATATGCCCCCTGTAAGAAATCACCTATTCCTTCACTCAAATCATCATTCTCCACTATTATCTAGATGGGGATGCCTCCAATCCACATCCTTTTATTTACTACTGCCTTTGTTCCACATACTTCAAATTCTGCACCCGATATCTTAACTGTTTCAACTGTGAAGACTCTGGAAGACCCAACATCACAGAAAACATAATACCAAACTCCTTTTCTTCCTCATATGTCCTCATTTAAACTTCCCTAACCCCAATTCCTGGCACCACATTCTTCTTAGCAACCTAAGTGATCATTCTTGGTTTATCCCTTTATTCCAATATCTAGACTGCCATGTAGTCCTAATTTCCTCGACAAAGTATCCAAATATGGGTTTCTTCTTCAGTATGGTCACTGTTACCAGTCTAGTCTAGACACTCAAGACTTTGCTCCTTAATTTTAATACCACTTTATGTTACTGCCTTGACTCCAGGCCCCATTTCCTTCAATACACGTTTTAGCCATGTTCCCAGGAGAGCCTTTCCTAAGTACTTCTTTATACCATGTTGTTTCTTTGTTCAAAAACCTACATGGGGCTAGTCAATTCACACTGTACTGAACTTAAACTCCTCCTCTTATTTTATCCTTCAAATAGAAGGGAGATATATATCATATATCTGCTCTATATCTGACATGTCCTACTCAGTTTACAAAGGCTTTTTTTTAAAATATTTATTTTTTAGGTGTAGACAGACACAACACAATGCCTTTATTTTTATGTGGTGCTGAGGATCTAACCCGGGTCCCACCTGTGCTAGGCGAGTGCTCTACCACTGAGCCACAATCCCAGCTCCTACAAAGCCTTTAAAAAAAAAAAAAAAACTAAGCATTTAACTTATCAGGCACCATTCTAATAGCTTTACATGTTTTTCTTTGTTTTGGTGCAGAGGATTAAATCCAGGGCCTCACATTTACATGCATTTAATCTCATATAATCCTCAAAACAACCATATGAGATAAACAGCTATTCTTTCCATTTTATAGGTGAGAACATTAAAAATCGAAGAAGAAAAGAAAGTTACTGAAAGTTATCAAGTTAAAAATGGCAAAGCCAGGGTTCTGTCACAAATTCTATTCCAGATACAAATTCATCATGACAGAAATCTGGGCCCTTGTCTTTTTTTTTTTTTTTTTTTTAGTTGTAGATAGACACAATACCTTTATTTTATTTATTATTATTTTTTTAATGTGGTGCTGAGGATTGAACCTAGTGCCTCACATGTGCAAGGCAAGCGCTCTGCCACTGAGCTATAATCCAAGTCTTGGGCCCTTGTTTTTTTATAATCTGTTCCTTCTCACCAATCCCACTTTGTTTCCCAGAAGTATCAAAAATATACTCAAATATCATAAGTTTCTTCAAAGCCCCAAGAATACACTAAAATTATTCCCATCCCAATTTTTTTGTCTTTACATTACTATCTTCAAAAGAATTATTTTTAAATTTTTACTAATCTTTTAAAATAAAGCTCAGGTGGAGGTCCATCCTGATAGGGCCTTTCCTATAGCCACACATTGCTGTAAATACCTGATAGAGTAATTATGGTTTTACTTTACTCACAGAACTATTTGTTAGATCTATGAGAAAGAACTAAAGGATAGTTACAATAATAAACTTTTTACCTTAGGTATTAGTATATCCCACAGATCTGTACCAAATATGATTTGACTTCATTCATGCTTACAGATGGTATCAGTAATTGAAAACCAGGCAGGTCTGGCTACTCTAAAAATGACCCTAAAGTAAAAGAAATTAAATCCCAAAGATTCCAGGAAGGGAATTTTGAAGTTGTTATCAGTGTGTCAATAATTCAAAGTGGAGAGAAAAGCAGCCCATATAAAGGATCATGGCCTGATATTACAACTGTGGATAGAGCATCAGTGCTTGGGGGTTTTTGTTTGTTTATTTTTAAGGGCTATTTTGGAGATAAATCTTGACTCAAGAAGAATGAAAGTGATCTAGATGGGTAATGGAAGGAATCACAACACATGAAATTCCTTAAATAAAAATGGATGGACTTAGACACGAATGGGTGTGAAAATACTTTGTATATAACCAGAGATATGAAAAATTGTGCTCTATATGTATAATAAGAATTATAATGCATTCTGCTGTCATAAATACATAAAGAATTAATTTTAAAAAGTACATGATATTAATAAAAAGCATAAATTGCATTGTTTAAAAAATGTATTGATTTTTAAAATAATAAAATAAAGCTCAAGTTCTATCCTTCCTAAACTACTTTAGCTCTTTGTTCCTCTAGATTCCTACAATATTTAGACTCTTTCAGCACTGTATATAATAACTGTCATTGCTCATTCTTGTTTTCTCAGTGTTAGTCTTCTCTTCCCCAGCGTGATTGTAGTTGAGGCTGGGCCCATGTTTTATACTTTTTGTATCAAAAAAGAAAATGGAAGCTTAATAATTACTTGCTACTTTAATGAAAATATTCTGTCCTTCATTTCCATTTGATATTACATTTTTGAAGATCAATAATTACATAATTTTGACTCGCTAAACAAAATTTTTAAAAAACATTAAATATTATAACCAAAGTTTAACTATATTTTAAATATAAAAAGAAATGACCTGTTTTTCATGCCAAAGAAGATAATAGTCTCTTGAGTATTTAATACAGATAGTTTGCTTTTATTTTTGTTAAAATTAGTTGTTATGTTTTCTCCTTTTACTATAAATGCACCTTAAGTGGTGGGGGGCTGATAAAGAAATGTTTTACTAAGGCTAACAATAAATTATTTATAAAGCTTAAACCCAAACTATTCTGAAGTTTTGTTATAATGCTAATTTTAACAATGCTATAATTTTTAGAGATAAGCTAAGATCCTTAGTAATGGAAACAAAAATCTCCTTGGACAGGATTTGAATTAAGCCAATGTTGTACTGAGATGATTTCTGTCATAAAGAATTATGTGTATTACAAATATGCTAACTACTATTCCATTTTTTTGCAATTACAAATGTTCTCACACAGGTAAAATGAAAACCAGTACTGTATGATACCATAAAAGCACTACTGTTTCCTTTGTTAAAATAATCTCTCACTCAATACTACAACCTCTGTCTCCCGCCAACTCGCCTACCAATTAAGTGTGAGTGTACTACACCATTGGCCATTTTCTTAGACTTGCAAACATCCAAACAGAGGCAAGACAAAGACATATTACCTAAGCATGCAGCAGCACCAACCATGGCATAAAGACCAGGCGTAATGCAATCAGCCCCAACCTCGCACCACTCCTTGAAGATGAACCAGTCGTGGTGATAGTAGGCAAGCTGTTCCACTGCAATCCCCACAATCCTTCCGGCTATTGCTCCAATGGCCATGCTGGGGATGAACAAGCCTGAGGGAACCTAAAACAAAAACAAAACTCTTGGGAGGCAGAGATCCTCTAATTAAATTACATGCTCATACCTACATTCTGTGGTTTTAACACTTTTGATTCTTTTCACATTTTACTGATAAAGCAAAATATTAGTACAAATATAGCAAAATCTTGTTTAACAGTACTTTAACAATTCCATGAATTTAGTTACAAAGTAACAAACCACATTCTCTAGGCTAACGAGAAAATAACTCAAGGATTAAATACTTTTATCTCAGGGATTTCCTAATGCTATCCCCTAACAAAATTTCATTAGTTCATGTGAAATGGAAAAAAAAAAAAAAAAAAAAAAAGGACAATGAGTATTTTTCATAAAATTCAGTTTGAAGCACTATACTTTACTCCAAGATTATGTCCTTCCTACATATGTACAAATGACAGAAATAGATGCTATTCCTCTTAAGAGGTATAATGCAAAGTGAACAATCTTATTAGAGTCCCCCAATACTTTGACTCAAAAGTCAAAAATATTTATTGACTAAATTTTTTAAAAAAATATTTATTTTTTAGTTGTAATTGGACACAACACCTTTATTTCACTTATTTATTTTTGTATGTGGTGCTGAGGATCGAATCCAGGGTCTCCCACATGTTAAGCGAGCGCTCTATCGCTGAGCCACAACCCCAGCCCTTACTGACTAAATTTAAAGACGATAATAGAAATAGTAAATCTCTTAAGCAAAATGATTTAAAGACCACTGACAGGTTAATTGCTCTAACCTGTTCTGGTCATGAAACGAGCTGAGCACAAAATGATGAAAAGATAGAGAGCCCAAGGGTCATTAAAATGATATACAATAGAACAGATCAAAGTGCCTTTTAAGATCTCCTAACAGTTACACTCCTTCACCTGGAACAAACATAAACTGGAACTTAACTGCCAACTATTTCCAGCTTCCTTATATAACTGTCCATGACAGTTAACTCTAGTAACTGATAAAGTTGGGATTTATAGAAAATAGATTATTATAGTAAAAGGAGCTTTAACAGCTCCTTTAACTTGATTTGCTAAGAAAAAAAGTAAAACCTCAAAGCTTTTGTTATATAACTCTTTATAGTCAATGGACTAAACAAGGAAAATGGAAATATAGATCTTACTTCAAAAATTACTGCAACTACAATTTTTAGAAATAAAGCTGCTATTCCACATAATTCACAAATGTGAAAGGACACTATCACTGGCAAATATTAACTATTATGTAAACTATCACAAAAAAGGGATATGGCTCAGTGATAAGTGCTCTTGGGTTTGAACTATATTTACTGGCAGATCGATAATCAATGAATGTTATTTAAAGATAAAGGACAAGCCAACATCTGCTTCCCCATATACATCACTAACAATCAAAAGACAGTGACACGTGCCGGAAATTCCAGTGACTTGGGAGGGTGAGGATGAAGATCCCAAATTTAAGGCCGGTCTCACAACTTAGTGAAACTTTGTCTCAAGAAATAAAAAAGGGGGTCTAGGGTTGTGGCTCAGAGGTAGAACGCTCGGCTGGCATGTGTGAGGTCCTGGGTTCGATCTTCAGCACCACATAAAAAAAAATTAAAAAAAAATAAAGGTATTGTGTCCAGCTACCACAAAAAATATTTTTTTAAAAAAGGGATATGGCTCAGTGATAAGTGCTCTTGGGTTCAAACTATATTTACTGGCAGATCACTAATCAATGAATGTTATTCTCACTTTTGTTAAGTACAAGAGAAACAACATTCCACAAACTTAGGCTTAACTGCCTTAAATCCTTGATATAAAAAGGCATAGTACTCACAGACCCAGTAATTCAATTCTGTAGTATCTTTTCAAAATAATACCCTATAGTGCTATGGCAGGCAGAATAATGATTCCCTGAAGATGTCCATATCCTAATTCCCAGAACCTGTGAATACTGTTACATGGCAAGGAGACATTAATGTTACAGACAATTAAGGTTGCTAATCAGCTGATACCAAAACAGAAGATTATCCTGGATTGTCTGGCTGGATCAAAAGTAATCACTAGGGTTTTGTTAAATGTGGAAGAGAGATTTAGAGGTTAATGTCAGAATAATGGGACTAGAGAAAGTCTTGACCAGTTGTTTCTACTTTGAAGATGAAAGAAGGGGACATGAGCCAAGGAATGTTCACAGCCTCTAGAAGCTGGAAGAGGCAAATCCCAGACTCACTCCTACAGCCTCTAGAATGCCCTGTGAACACCTTGATTTTACCCCAGTGAAACCCTTTAAGTCATCTGACCTCACAAATGTAAAATAATAAATTAGTGTAGTTTTAAACCATGCTTATGAAAATTTATTAGAGCAACCATAAAAAACTAATACAACTGGTTTTAAAACATGACCAGGAGTAATGACACTTCCTCTACTAAGTACATGTCTTTCCCCCTGAACCTGAATGGCTTTCTGTCACTGCCTCAGTGAATAGAAAAAAAAAAAAAAAAAAAACAGAAGTCATACTGTGTGACTTCTTTAGCTTTCCTGGGACACTTGCTTTTGGAATACTGAGCTACCATATATGAAATCCAACTATCCTGAGGCTACCATGCTGGAAAAAACACAGAGAGAAAGCAAGACATGTATATTCCGGGAGCCTAGAAGTTCTAGTACCAGTTGTCTGAATCTTCTCAGCCCAGGGGCTAGACATATGAATAAAGTCTGAGATGATATGTCTGATAACAATTGTACAAAACATAAGCAAAAAATGCCCAGATGAGCTCTTCCCAAATCAAGAACAAACCAGGTAGTTATCTTAAGATGCCAAAGTTTGGGGTAATTTGCTAAACAGTAACAAATAATAAACTTAATAATCTGCTTAAGGAATTACTTTTTTCCCTATTTAAAACTAAACCTCAAAGATGTGCTTTTTCAGCCTTCATTTATGAAACAATAACCTTCATATAAAAATTTAATTTCTTATTCCACATATAAGTTTTGAACATGCCAAGATTAGATCACCTCATATTAGCACTTACCTTTATACCAAAAGTGAATACTGTCATTATGATTTTAAATATGAGTGCTAAGCATAACTGCCATATAGCTGAATAGACTCCGACGCCTGCTGGACGATCAGGAATATCATCAACAATTTTACTGGCATTCATGTCATTTCTGTAGTCACAGAGAGAAGAGGATTCCAAGGGACCACAGTCTGTAAAAAGCTCCTTAATCAGCTCACTGGTGTTGAGCCTTGTGTATGGATTGGGGAAGGCTATCACAGCAGTAATGGCTGCAACAATAATGACTTCTAGAACAGGGTACTTTCCAAACTTGGTGGATTTGCGTCGACGACACCAGGCAATATTTGCCCTAATAAAAAAAGCTCCCCAAAGCCCTCCAAATACCCCTAGCAGAATAAAAGGAAACAGTTCAAAAAGGTACCATGGTGTATGATATTCCACATAAAAAAGGACCAGACGGCTGTTACCAAATGGATTGATGGATCTCAAAACAAATGCAGCCACTAAAGCAGCAAAAAATGATCTCCATAAAGTTTTGAGAGGAAAATAATAGCTAACCTAAAAAAAAAGAAAGAAAAATTAATATTATCATCTTAAAAGATGCTTCTGATATTTTATAACTTGAATGGGAAGTATCTCTGTAAGTTTTAATGCAGCTAACTCTAAACTTTGTTGCAGCTACAGTTTACATGTTTTACACCAATAAAAAATGTTTTATCTTTAGCTACCTTATTACATCATTTATAAGAACTGATGATAAATGTCTAATAATTATTTCATATACCTAGCATTGTTTTATTTTTAAATTGAATGTCACATTCAATTTTATCATGGTAGTTAAAATTATATGTAACATCAATAGCTCATAAACATATATTTGATTTGCCTCTTCTACATTAAAAAAAAAAGAATAAAAACTAGAAGAAAAAATGAAATTCAAAAACACCCCTGGCTGCTGGCCACATTTTGTAAAAGGAAAGTTTTAAAATTAATAATAATACATATATGTAATTCCACTGAAGCAACAGAAATTATTTCCTTAAACATTAATAACTGTTTAAGAAATAATCACAAGAAAAACTTGAAAAGCTAATTTAGGAACTGATTTTAAATTATAAAATAAGAATATGGATTACACTTTAGCTAAGAATAGGTTGTTCTAAATGTCTTCTATTAAGTCAAATTCACATTTTCTTAATTTTAACTATTTCAACAAAGTAAAGTTCAACTTTAAAAAATGACTAATATTTATAAATGAATAGGTTTAAGATGCTTTTCTCTAGACATGGAACTTGCCTAAAAGTGATGTAGTATATTACTTTTAATGCAAGAATTAGTAAAAACATTCAATTTTTTTGCAGAGGGTGTGGAGGATTGTGGTCCAGAATAAAACTCAGAGGCACTTGACCACTGAGCCATATCCCCAGCCCTATTTTGTATTTTAGAGACAGGGTCTCACTGAGTTGCTTGGCACCTCGCTTTTGCTGAGGCTGGTTTTGAATTTGTGATCTTCCTGTCTCATCTTCCCAAGCTGCTGGGATTATAGGTGTGTGCCTCTGCACCTAGCAAGAACTAGTGAAAACTTTCTAAAAATAAATCTGAAAACTTAAAAAAGAAACTCTTTATCTATTATGTCAGGTATAAAACTGAAATGTGGGGACCAGGGGGAGGGAGGATAGGAGTGAAAGGGAATTACTAGATAAACAATAAATCACACTATTACATACAATTAAAATTTACCAATAAGAAATTGTTTTGATTTGAAGTGTGTGATAAGATATATTTGTAATGGTAATAACATATAATTTTTATGCTTACACTTTTGTACCTACCTCTTCCAGGCTAAAAAGAACTCCTCCAATTGGTGCACCAAAAGCTACAGAAACACCTGCAGCTGAGGCAGCTGATAGCACCTAGAAAGAGGATGTGGCTTATTGCTTATTCCCTTATAAATTCAAATATTGCCAAATAAAAATTCCTATTACCTGAATTTCCCAAATGCTGCTTCTGCATTTAACTCACATGTCCTCCTCCCCAAGCAAAGGGCAAGTATTCATTTCTTCTAAAAAGATTTTTTTCTCTTCTGCTTTAATTGAAAGTTCATTCATATATTCACTACTCAGTTAAAAACATTTGGACCAGAAATACCAATGTGAGTATGTTGTAAGAAAGAGAAGGCAATGAACACAGACAACTTTTAATATATATGGCTGTGTGGATAAGAGGAAAGAGCAGTAAATGGAATGGGGGGGGGGCAATTCTTTCTTTACTTTTAAATAGGATATAATTTCTCCAGATTTGAGAGTTAGATGCTTCACCATTAGTAACTACTCTATTCTAAATCCTGGCAAGATATCAAGGGAACTTAAAACCGATTAAATAGTTTCCCTATATTTTTACTACCCTAAGTCCCCTGAACATCCTGCTATCCTCAATGTAGAGTCTCATTCTGAAAGCACAAACAGCTTAGTCAAGAGTCTCTCTAGCCAGAACCCAAAGAATAAAGTTAAAGGAAGAGAACAATCCACACACATTCTTCTGGAAGCCCTGTCCAACTGACTTACTGGTCCATCAGTTGATTATTCCCTGGTCCATCAACTGATCAAGTAAAGAAACAATTGCAAATATATTTTTGGGAGGGCATTTATTTGTAATTATTCTTCTAGGAAGTCTTTATTTATTTCACCACTGTAATACAGGAAAGAAAAGCAACCTAAAACATTTCCTCAAATAATTAATTGTTTCATTTTTGGAAGGGAAATTAGAAAATTAAGTTGTAAATGGTCAAGAGCACAAACTGCACAGTCAAGCTGCTAGGCTAAACATTCTTTTGTTGCAAATACTGACTACATAACGATGGGTAAGTAACTTAACCTCCATGAGCCTCAGTTTTCTTTTCTCTAAAATGAGGATACAATAACATTACATAACTCATAAGGATTAAGTGAGTAAGGTATGTAGAATAGTATGTAGCACCTTGTAAGTACTTAATAAAATTTTGATAAATTATAAATGAGCAAATATTTGCTTCAATTAAAGGGTATCTGGCTTTAGAATGTAGAATCTACTTATTTAGGAGAAGAAAGAGAGCAAATTTAGCTTCCATGTTTTTTTCTACTTAATAGGACTATAGGCAACACATTAATTATTCTGATTCTACATTTAAGAATTTTACAATTAAGCTAATACCCAATGTATCTATAACTTACGTTTTAATCTGTAGGAGGTGTCAAAGAGCATTTAATTGAAAAATGTCAGGGAAGTAGGTATAGGAAGAAAGCCAAAATATAGAGTCTTAATACTTGCAACTAATAAGAGAATTTTTACTATGTATAAGACATCATATATACCTAATTACCACAGTGTTGACATTAAAATATAGGTGAATTAATTCAATTCAAACAATATATTCCAATAAATACATATTTGTATAACTTATAATGACTAAAAATCTTACCAAAAAATGTGTTCTGTCAACATATAACAGAAAGTAAAGGAATAAAATTGGGGAGGCAAATGCTACAGCTGCATCTTAGCCCCTAAGTTGATACACTGTAATATAGTTGGGTTTTGTTTTGTTTTAAAAATATATACCCACACAATTATAGTGGTAGCATAGTAGTTAAAAGCATAGTCTTCAGAATCAGATAAAAATTAATTTAATCCACATTCTACCACTAACTATGTGGTCATGAATAAGTCAGTTGGCTATTTTAGGCCTTCATTTCCTAATTTATAGAAAAGGAAAACAGTGCTATGTTACTAGAATTAGTGTGAAATTAAATTTTAAAATGCAAGTAAATTATTTGCTACAGCATCATATATACAATAAGTAATCAATAATGCTAGCAATTTTTGTTATATAGTAAACTATATATTTTACTATATATTATTTAATAATTCACAATCATTATTTAGAGATGGAATATTATGCTTTTATAAGTGTTCCATTTTTGGAATATCCACTATTAATGCAAGAATGATATTTTAGTGCTGATATTAGAAAGTACTATAATTATTTCAATTAAAGAACTAAATAGCCTGATAAAGTATTCTACTATTTTTGTTACACTACAAAAAACACCAGAATGAGGCTGGTGCTATAATTCAGTAGCAGAGTTCTTCCCTTGTATGCATAATGCCCTGGGTTTGAGAATCTCTAGCATCACCAAAAAATATTAAAAAAAAAAAAAAAAAAAAAAAACACCCAGCAGGATGAAAAGGTCTGTGCTAAAGCCAGAGGCACCCGAGTTTTCAGTATTTGATGACATGTTTTAAAAAAAAAAAAATCATGCCTTAAGAAATTAGAAAATTGGGAATGGAACCACCATTTGACCCAGCTATCCCTCTCTTTGGTCTATAACCAAAGGACTTAAAAACAGCAAACTACAGGAAAACAGTCACATCAATGTTTATGGCAGCACAATTCCCAATAGCTAAATTGTGGAACCAACCTAGATGCCTTTCAATAGATAAATGGATAAAAAATATGTGCCATATATACACAATGGATTATTACTCAGCAATAAAAGAGAATAAAATCATGGCATTTGCAGGTCAATGTATGCAGTTGGAGAATATAATACTAACTGAAGTTAGCCAATCCCAAAAAACCAAATGCTGAATGTTTTCTTTGATATAAGGAAGCTGATTCATAGTGGGATAGGGAGAGGGAGCATGGGAGGAATAGACGAACTCTAGATAGGGCAGAGGGGTGGGAGGGGAAGGGAGGGGGCATAGGGTAATTAATGATGGTTGAATGTGATGATCATTATTATCCAAAGTACATGTATGAAGACACGAATTGATGTGAGTATACTACGTATACAACCAGAGATTTGAAAAATTGAGCTCTATATATGTAATAAGAATTGTAATGCATCCCGCTTATATATATAAATAAAAATTAATTAATTTTAAAAAAAGAACTTTAATTGGATTATTACAGGGGACTGGGAGGGAGGCAGGAAAGGATGTAAGGGAGGAGGGTAGACATGATCAATGCACAATATACACATGCATGGAAACATCATAGTGAAATCCACGAATCTGTACATTAATATGTGCTAATAAAAAAAAGCTAAGGAAAGAACAACAACAACAAAACAACTCTTAAGATCTCTGTCCCATGATCCCTTACACCAATGGTTAATGTTCACCAATCATGGAGGAGCTGCAGTATAGTAGTGGGCTCTAGAGCTAGCTACCTGTATAGCTGCTGGGCTCCCATATTTAACTCAATACTAGAACGATGAAAGGTGAAGCAATGCAAGTGGCTCACTCAGGTCTTATAGAACACTTTATAATAACTTCTAAACGAGTATACAAGAAATCATTAGAATAACTGGCCTCAGGTGAATTTAATTTTAATATCTAAAGAAATGGGGAAAATGGAATACTAAAAGTAATCAAACTCTGTACACAATAAAAAAGGATGATTCTGAAAGATAAAATTAAAAAAAAAAAAAAAATCTCTGTCCCACCTAGAGCTACAGATTTGCATTTGGGAGGACTAGGTTTTAAAGCCACTAACCAAAGTCTCAGGAGCCCACTTTTCTTCCAGAAAATACCCAGAAAAAAGAGACATGAGGGAAAGTCTATAGTTTGAAGGCCTGCTGGAAGACCTTATGCTGTTCCAAAGAAATGGTAAAGGAAATTGCCTGAAAACAGCTGAATAAAGAAAATTTCTCACATCCCCTTTAAGTGGAGGGGATTTTGGCAAGGGTAAGATCTGACCCTGCAAAGGACATCCAGTTTCATTGTCCTTTTCAGTGGTTCTTCAGTATTTAATCCTTACCTCCAATCCCCTCACAAAAATGATCTGAGCCCCCATACACACAAATAAAAAAATAAAATGAATTTCTGATTTAAACTTTGGGAAGTCCTCAAGGTCTTCAGAATTTCCCCACTGGGTTAGAAAGTTTTCTACATATAACACACCACTTCCAATGACATTAGACACTGACTGACCCCAAAAGAAAACAAAGCAATTGAGTTTGCCCAACCCTAGAGATGTTAAGAAATGTTGAGAAATAAGAGTTAAAGCAATGTTATGTTTGGAAAAACTTCCAAAGAGGTTGGGCGTAAGGCACAGTGAAAACAACTAAGAAAGATCTCTGTGTAATTTAACCAAAACCCAGTGAATACTAGCTGGTCTATAAAGCATTCTAAAACACAGGAGTGACTAAGTAGCAGTAGAGTGGATTCTAAAAAGATGTTAGATAGTCAGAAAAAGGAAAATAAGCACAAACTAATCTCAAAAATTTTAATCTAAAAAAAATTGATCCCAACACAGTAAAATATGATCTTCACATTAGGAAATTCCCAACTGATATCAAGTCTACAAAATAGATATTTTTTTGTCAAATAATTACAGAAAACATTTACCTCCCGTTTTTTAGCTTCATTTGTGCTATACTTTGGAAAGAGGTAGGAAAAGATATTTCCGCAGCAACAGGCCACATGTACCAGAGGACCTTCTTTTCCTAAACTCAAACCTGATGCCACAGCCAGTACTAAAGTGATGGTTTTAATCATTAAAGTCCATTTTCCCAAGTAACCTCTAATGATGAATCCACTCAAAATCGTTTTAATCTACAAAGAAAAGTAAAAGCAGTTTAATTTCCTTTAAGAAACAGGAGAATATAACTAATCAAAAATATTCTCATTTTACTCACAAAACCTAGGAAAATTTGAACAATTATGGAACAATACACAATTAATTTTTCAAAAAGTATATTATGTGTATGATAAATCTACCTTGTATTCTTATTCTCTACTCAAATAAAGTTAAAAGATAACCCTACCCCATGAAAAAAATAAAAATTATAAGCCATGTTAAAGAAAATACAGATCTTAAGTACAAAGGTATAATGAAAAAAACAAAAAATAGCAAATTTGAATATTTCTGTTGTAGAAATAAACAACATATTTAGATACTTAGGACTTTCCACCAAAAATAAAGTTATTATGCCTTTTCAGAGTACTTCAATTATGTGAAATGTATTTCATTATATACAAGAAGGAGCAATGAACACTTCTAACTACCACATGATGCAGTTCCTTATTAAATACATTCTTAATTAATTATCCTTTTAAAATCACCATAATTTAGTCTTTAAAAAATACACTAGAAAAAGCGGATGTGGAAAAATTAAAAAGGGAAAGAAATGAGTTCAAGCCTAAATCTAATTCGCCTTTAAATTACTGTTGGCTGGGGCTGGGGTTTAGCGGTAGCGCACTTGCCTGGCATGTGTGAGGCACTGGGTTCGTTTCTCAGCACCATATATGAATAAATAAAATAAAGGTCTATCAACAACTAAAAACACATTTTTTAAAAAAGATGATTAAAATAAATAAATTACTGTTGATGAAAGTTAAACCCTGTAACTTTGTAACTCAATGGTAGAGAGAGCCCTTGTCTACATGTACAGGCCCTGGCTTCAATATCCAATAATGCAAAAAAATAAAACAAAACCCCCGAATTTCTACTATTGACCTATTTTAATCAAATGTTTTCTCAAAGCATAAAATAGCCAAACTTTGCCACGCGCAGTGGCGCACGCCTGTAGTCCCAGCAGCTCAGGTGCTGAGACAGGAGGATCATGAGTTCAAAGCCAGCCTCAGCAAAAGCAAGGTGCTAAACAACCTGTTTAACATTCTGAGACCCTGATCCTAAATAAAATACAAAATAGGGCTGGGATATTTGGCTCAATGGTCAAGTGCCCCTGAGTTCAATCCCTGGTACTAAAAAATAAATAAATAAATAAAGCCAGATTGAAGAATCGTTAACTTATTTTTTTTTTTAAAGCTTCAAACATGGGTTTTTGTTGTTATTATTGTTGTTTGTAGTTATAGATGGATACAATATCTTTATTTTATTTATATGAGGTGCTGAGGATTGAACCCAGTACCTTACACATGCCAGGCATCCACTCTTCCACTGAGCCCTAACTTATTTAATTTAATGAACCCCAGTCCCTAACTTATTTAATGAACAGATAGTTTTAAAAAAGTAAATTAATGTATTCAAGTCAAGGTCATAACAGAAAAGTATCATCTATCAAAGAACCTTAGACCACAAAATATTTTTGCAGTTTCTCGATGTTTGACCAAGTTTCTTGATAATCTGCTTAATCATGTGCTAAATTAGTGGTGAGAGGAAGGAAAAACCATCAACCTCTACAGTAAATGAGGAAATGATTATGGGGAAGTAGTTCTTGAATGATGTCTACAATTAACTTACACTTTTCAAACATTTCTTCATACTAATACAACAATAACAAAATCCCACCCCCAAACTGCTTTCATTAAGTGCAAAAGAATCATGACAATTACTGCCTAATGATAGTATTACATGGCTTACCTCTGGAATTCCAGAGCCACAGGCATATGGAGCAAATACCTTTACCAGGGAAACTGCAAGAAAGGCAAAACTCAAGGCCCAGAAGATGTACATTATGTAATTCATGATGTAAGAACCAGGACCCTAAAAAGCAAAAATAGTGCAAGAGTATGAAATTAACTTTCACTGCAACCTCTAATGCTTGCGACATAAGGAACCCGAGTAAAACATTTTTATTTTTTTTAATTTTTGAGACACTATGTTACCCAGGCTGGCCTTGAACTTCTGAGCTCAATGATTCTAATGCCTCAGTTTCCTAAGCATCTGGGACTGCAGGCACGTGCTACTGTGCGAAAATGGGTAAATCTTTTAGAAATCTCCTGGTTTATTTTCACAGTAATACAAAACTTTATATTAAAAAATATTTAGGCATAATCTAAAAAATAGTTCTTATATATATTAAGTAGCCTTAATCCCATTAATCTTTTTCTTGATCCCTAGGTATTGTTACCAAGACATCTAAGTTATACTTTAACTTCTACCTACCCATAAACAAATATTTGGAAATAGCTGGTAGAGACAAAACTGAATTGTCACTCAAGGTTACATTCTGTTCCAATTTTCTTAAAACATTATTAAATTGAATTCAATCAAGTCAGGCAAAAATCAGCATTCAATTTATATCTTACCAGCAAATATATTCTTTTTAGCTCTGAAGTGCAACTGTAACAAAAATTTTAAATTCCATCTGTATGTGAATATATTTAATATATGATACGCTAAGTTCCAGAATGTTCTTCATTACAAAACATAAAAGTAGTAAAATAAAAATTTAATACTGTAATGTCTCTCACTCTCACACACACACACACACACACACACACACACACACACAAAATCTCTGAATTTCTTCAATCTCTGAATTTCTACTTGGCTTATCTTACTGATTTTTAAAAATAATTTACACTTTCATAATTCCCAATTCCCAATCTTAGTGATGTAATGTGTCAAATCATTTTTAATAACTCCATATTAACTTTCCACAGATTGTATTGCAATGATTTATCCCTTCTACTACAACTCACAATAAATAAATCTGTACCATACTCCAGGTAGTTTGTTAAATGATACAAAAGCTGCTTAGAGCAATCCTTAGTTTTTTCCTGCTGTAATATATTCTTGTATTTTCCATTCTACTCTATTACATAATTTTTCTTTTGGATGAATGCAGGTTACAATCATCCAATATGTGATTAATTCTATAATTTCACTGTATCAATGATTAACTCATCTTGAGCAAAGCAAAACTTACCTCTGCTTGACCTATGATTAATTCTGCCCATGTTTTCCACTGTGGACATTTATCCCTCTCTTCAAATGTTGTTTCATTAGATCCCCAACAACACTGTTCATGGTTATACCACAATGCACTAAGGCAAATGCCCTCTTTTAGATCAGTCATCCAATCAGCAGCAATGTCTATCAATCCAGCCAATGCCCCTGTAAAAACATGTTGGAGATGGTCAAAAAAACATATCCATATTTTGGGGAGCTAAGATCTATCTAGTTCAGAGATTAATAGAAAATAGGAGATTTCCTATAAATAATAGTTTCACTAAGGAACATGATTTTAAGATTTTCAAATTTTATATATAAATGCACATCTATTATTTTAAAAAACTATAATACTATTCTTTAAAATAAAATTGTTACTCTTTGAATAAAACTCAATTGCATCATTCAAATTAATTATAATTACAAAAAAGTTCTAATATTCAAATACCTTTAAAAGAAAGCTGCTTGGCAGGAGATTCATATATCTGGCTATTGAAGCAAATGTTTTAACTATCCAGTTTCAATCCAAAACTTCATTAACAAATAATGTCAATCTCATTAAAACTTAATGTCCATTAGAAATAATTAGTGAAATTCATTCATGAATTACTGTGACAGATTAACAATTTTTTCTTAAATAATAGAAAACTATATGTATCGAGATTATTTTACTGACAGAATATAAAAATACACAAATTCATGGTCAAATCTGGGTCATTCTTATCATATAAAAAGATCAATTGGGTCATACACACAGAAGTCACAAAATTTTTGTGCATGCCAATTAGTATTGTTAATACTTCTCTCTGTTTTCCACAAAAACTTTAATTTTTCATGTTTTCTGGACACAATCTTCCATGATGGAAACTGAAAATAATTAAAAGTTCTTAATTTTTTTTACTTAACTGTTATTTCCTAACATTTCTCACCTAGGACTTTGTGGCCATGCATACAGCATGGTAATTAAAGGGTCAGTCTCTTGAGCTAAACTGCTGGAATTCATACAATGGCTGAGCCACTTTTTGACCATATGATCTCAGCCACACTCCTTAATTTCTCTTGTGCTTCAGTTTCTTGATCTGTACCATAGTTATAATCACAGTAATTATGCCATTTTTAGAACACTGCATGACATATATAGCACTCAAAAAAATAATTATTAATTATGATGGTAAAATAAAAGATATCTTATTGATCATCTAGTTCATACCACTTATGTTACAGAGATGGAAACTGAACCCAGAAAGATCAATCATGTTGGATAGACCCTTTAAGTGACAGAACCAAGAAAAGACTAAAGTCTCTTGCCTCCTACTCTTTTAATATGAGAAATTTTTGAGGGAGAAAAACACATGCTTTTAAAAATCTAATAGTACCTGAAAAAAAATTTTTGAGGGAAAGAGGGGAGAACTATTTATAGTTCTGTTATTTTTTTTAAAAAGGACTACTTTAAAAATTTTCTTTACCTGATGCCAATCCTGTTAGTGTTACTACTAGCCATCCTGACCACGCATCATATAAACTTTTTGTCATTTCCCATGCTGATTCTTTCTTTTTGCTGTTGATCTGAAATTAGAAATGTTTATGCTTCATTTTTCAAACTCTGAATAGAAGATAGAATTCTAATATCTAGCAATTTTTCTCAGTTACCATAATCAGAACAGAACCTTCTAAACTAAATAAGGGGAAAGGTGAGTTTGGGGAAAAATCAGTATCAGAGAGTCATTATACCTGTAAGCCAGATGATAAGTATTTATCCAGCATTTTATAAGAACCTCAGATTTAAGTGCAATGGGACCATAAGCCACATAAAAATCTGACACAGACTGTTTTTAAATGAATCAAATTCAATTTTGGATCTATATTTGGTATAAACTTTATATTAGTGGAAGTGACTGGAAATGTCTATCATTCCCTGGTGCTAGAAGTTAACTGAATTATAACTGTCTAAAAGATAAGTATGTGATAGTAAATGCCCATAAATAAAACGTAGAAAAGGCACATGGATAAATAGACTCCTGAAACTTAGAGACCTATATACAAAGATGTGGCAAGCTCCAATCTCACTGGTAAGGCTCAGGGGCTCTTTCATCACAATGTTAAGGCAAAAGTGTCCTTCATTGAATATAGTATAGGCAGGTAGGAGATTAATAAGAAGGTAAGAGATTTTTCTGATCTCATTCTACTGAAACACAAGAAGGCAAGTCTTATCTCTCCCTGTAAGAATGCATATTTAAAGCTATCTCTAAAGAGTACTAAACTCTTCTGTCCAACTAGAGTTGTTGTTTTATATTCTCCACCTAGGATTACATAGTGCTCAACCATCCCATTGGAGGGCTTCAATGACCTGATTTATTTCAAGCCTATGGTCTACTTGGAGGCAGGTCATTTTTTAAATAATCACTAAATTTTATGTTGATTTTCCTCAATGAAATAACTATAATGTCTAATAAAATATTATTTTCAGGCTGAGTCAGACATTCTTCTTGTACCACTGCTTGCATACTACTATAGTCACTTAACAAACATTTGCTTGACAGCGTATACCAAACACAAAAAGATACTGTATGTGCAAGAATGTACCCTCATCACCACTTCTAACAAAAACATTTAATGTTTAGTAATATGTAATACAGTTGAATAAACTGTAAAATATCTATGTAATGAAAAGTACTTCAGCAATTAAAAAGGAGATAGAAGCAGTGAGATGAAGGACAAAGACAAGGTGGCTAGAATTATGCTATTTGTCTAAGAAAGATAATATAGGCACAAATGCTGGTATTTTTTAAATGAAAGGATAAACCATAAAATTAAAAATGTAAAACATTATTTATAAGGGGAAGAAGACAATTAAGTTAGAACAGAAAGAAACTAGACTTCTTTGACTATAATGTGTTTTATACATTTAGCTTGGAATCATGAGAATATTCTACATAACTGGTGTGTGTGGGTGTGTGTAGTGTGGTAAATTAAATGATTCTGTTTGTGATGTTGAGATTTTTGGCATGCTTTAAATGAGGCACAGATTTAAGAACTAGATATTAAGCCCTATAGTAATGATTTTAAATTAGAACAGTAGTATAAACTTAGGAGAAATAATGACCAACCCACAAGCAAACAGTACCCACTTTTGCCCAGACTGTCTCTATGTATCATTCTCCTTCAATGGGACTGAACTCCTTGGAGAAATGGCTGACTTTAGGTTTTCTGCTGAAATGTGTAAGATAAACTAATATAAAATAATGTTTTCCCAGAATACATCACACCTGAACTCAAGTCAGAGAACACAGACACCAACCAATATCAATTCACTCCCACTAGTCAAAAGTAGAACAACATGGCTGAGCATGGTGTCATAGACTGGTAATTCCAGCAACTAGGCAGGCTGAGGCAGGAGTATTACAAGTTCAGGGCCAACCTCAGCAACTTAGTGAGACACTGAGCAACTTATTGAGACCTTGTTTCAAAATAAAAAATTAAAAAAGGCCTGAGAATGTGGTTCCGTGATTAAGCAACTCAGGGTTCAATCCCCAGAACCAAAAATAAACAAAAAAAGGATTTTTTTTTTTTTAAAGTGGAACAGGGACCTCAACGAAAAGAGTAACTGTGATAATTATGACACATAAAATGTTTAAATTCATGAGTTCATGAAGATACAGAAACAAAAGCCAACAAGCAAACAAAAATCTCACTGGTCAATTTTCAAGATACTAAGGAACTACATTTTTCAAACTCTCTCTTTGCTGTACGATCTGTTCATCAGAGAATCTGAATAGTTGATGAGGGGAAGGTTCTCTTTATAGAAGTATTTAAACTAATAAATTTTTTTAAAAGACAATTTGATTACCACCTTTTTGTAAAATATTTAAACAGTAATATCTGATCAGATAATGTCAATAGCTTCAAAATAATCTGGAATAAGAGGGCTTTGAGTAAAATAAAAAGGTCAATGACAAAGAATCAAGTGCATGTATACACTGAGACATGTATTTTTAAAAATTTTTAAGATTTTTAAAAATTTAATGTTTTAAGAATAACTGTAAGAACATAAATGTCCTGAATTTCTCAGTTTTAAAAATTGCAAAATATTTGACTAGGAAAAGATGATTAGCTAGGACACATATTAGCTCCTTTATATATTGCTATGTTATTTGAAATGTTTTCAAGAACTATAGACTATTCAAACATCAGAGGAAAAGAGTTTGTTTTGGTTTCTTTTAGTATCCATTTTCCCTAAAAGTTTAAGAACATAGTGGCTTATATATGACACTGTCAGAGTGCCACACTTTAGAACACATTTAAACCCCAACCTGAATACTGACTCTGAATGTATACTCTCAGTACAATTGTACTTACCCCGTAATTACATATGTCAGGATTTATAGTGTGTCTGACTTAGGCACAAAGGATTAAAACAGAGGTTCTCAAAATGTGATCCACTAACAATCTTAAGAGTCCCTGAGACCTCTTTAAAGGGGTCTCCAAGATCAAAACTATTTTTATAATAATAGCAAAATTTTAGGTGCCTTTTTGATTTTTTTTACATGCTGACATTTTTATTGATAATGTAAAAAACAATTGCTGGTTCCTTAGCATGAATCAGGAAGTGTCACCTGTCACTTTCAATTTTCAAGCATCCCAGTAAAAAATAAATAAATGCCAATTTTGCTTTAAAAATATTAAGAAGTTACTATGTGTTATGTATTATATCTTGTGTGATCAAATAGCTGCATAAAGCATGTCTGCCACATACTGAATATGAAGCTACATTTCAAGGAGAAGCTCTTGTGTAATGTGAGCTGCAAAATAAGTTAGGTCTTATATGAAATGTCATTTTTACTCAAAAGAAACACTGACATCAAAATATGGTTTTTCAGATTTCTGAATCTACAGTATTTTTTCAATAAAGAACAAAGTAGGATAGGCATGGTGGTGTATACCTGTAATACCAACAACTGGGGAGGCTGAGGCAGGAAGATTACAAGTTCAAGCCAGCCTCAGCAACTCAGTGAAAGGCCCTAACAAATTAGCAAGACCCTGTTTCAAAATAAAAAATAAAAAGGACTGGTGATGTGGTTTAGTGTTAAGAGCCCCTGAGTGTTCAATTCTAGGTAACAACAACAAAAACAACAAAAATCAAGTAGTCCTGTCATTTCATTTCCAGTGATAAAATGTGCACACAAACATTAGAATTTAAAAAATTAGTATTGTGAAAATTAGTACTGTGAGCAGTACCAATATTAAAGACTTTTTTCTTAAGAGAACCATGGTGATATTATAAATTTAATATTAAAATCAGTGACTTTTTGATACAGTATTTTCATTGTTTAAGTGTCAACATTTGAAAGAGCTGCATAAGTTAATGTATCATTGTTTTCCAATGGTCACTATATGTTACAAAACTGTATATTCAAAATTCAAAGTTTAAAGTAAATCAATGTAGGACAAAGTTCACTAGTACAATTTCGGAGTACACATTACAACTAACCTTTTAGAAACTAGTACTTGTCACTTTGTATAGTATCAAAGAATACCCACAATAATCTTTTAAAGCCTATTAAAATACTTGTAGCTGGGGCTGGGGATGTGGCTCAAGCGGTAGTGCGCTCGCCTGGCATGCGTGCGGCCCGGGTTCGATCCTCAGCACCATATACAAAGATGTTGTGTCCGCCAAAAACTGAAAAATAAATATTAAAAAATTCTCTCTCTCTCTCCCTCCCTCTCTCACTCTATCTTTAAAAAAAAAAAAAAAATACTTGTAGCTTTTTCAACTACATTATCTGTGTGAGGTTGAATTTCTTTATATACTTCAATCAAAAGAACATACCACAATGTCTGAATGCAGCCAGGTGTAGTGGTACACATTTGTAACCCCAGTTACTTGGGAGGCTAAAGCATGAGGTTCTCAAGTTCAAGGCCAGCCTTGGCAATTTAGCAAGACCCCATTCAAAAAAAAAAAAAAAAAAGGACTGGGATCGTAGTTCAGTGGTAAAGTGCTCCTAGGTTCAACACCCAGTACTACAAGTAAAGATGATGATTATTGTTGAGAGCTACAGCCAAAGGGGCCCTAGCAAACTTCCAGCTGTCAGCTGATGATTGGCTCACAGTGGCCCCAGCAAACTTCTAGCTGCCAACTGATTAGCTCCTCTGCGGTGATGCTCATTGGGTTGTTTCCCTGCCCTTTCAGACCACAGAGCTGCTCATTGGGGGCCTTTTTTTGGCTCCGCCCACCCGACCCAGCCAATCGGCCTCAAAAGCAGGAGGAGTGGGGGAGGTGGAGAGGCTTGTGGGAAGCCAGTGGTGGCAGTTGGGCTCTGAAGGTTTTCCTGAAGAGCTGTGTGGTTTGGCCTGTGTGTTCTAAAAATAAAGTTTCTTTTGACAAGTGGCTCCTGAATTGTGCCCAGCCAGACTGCGGCAGATTATGATGATGATAATGATATAATAAAATTTGAATGCAAAAGCAGATATAACAATCAGGCAGTCTTTTATTAAGCCAGTCAATACTGGGAGTTATAAAAATGTAGTATAAGAACTCAGTAAATATCTCTTATTTTGGAAAATATAGTTATTTTTATGAAATTCCATTTATGTTTACAAGCAACGGGTCTTGTTACTATTATTTTTTAATGAATTAGTGAATATTTTAAAAATTTCTCAGTTTTATATCTATTAATATAACATATTTTAAAAGTTCTTTGAGGGTTCTCAACACTTGTTAAAGTTTAAAAGAAATCTGAGACCAAAACATTTAAGAATCACTGGCTTAGAATATTGATGTAATATATATTTCCTCACATATGTCCTGAAGGTAAATATTGTCTAATGAATCTCAGAAGCTATACTTTTTATAAACAACATAATATAAAACAATTTCACATTTCGTACACATGTATACCTTTATATGAAAGCTTATAACTAATTGGTATAAAGTTATTTTCATTTACAAGTAAATTTCAGATACCAAAATTAGAAAGAGGCTTTGGAGATTTGGAATATTTTTCAAAAGAGATTGTCTTCTCTTTTTTAAAAAATATATTTTATATTTTTAAATATAAACAATATACCAATAAGCCACAACTGCAAATAAAAAGGATCTATATATTGTACTATACTTTAAAGTCAAATTTTTTAAAAATATATTTATTTATTTTTATGTGGTGCTGAGGATCGAACCCAGTGCCTCACACACCCAGTGCCTCACGTGTGCGAGGAAAGCACTCTACCGCTGAGCTATAACCCCAGTTCCATAAAGTCAAATTGGTTTTGATTAGTAATTTGTTATGACACACAAAAAGCCTTAATTAGGATCCAATTTGAGAAATATTCAGTACTGGCAAAAGGAACAAAAGAAAACTGCAAAACCCCATAAAATGACTTCCCATATCTTCTTTTTTTCATAGTAAGAGTTTCACAACTCTTCAGCTTGCTGAGTTGCTTAAGGCCAAAAATCATGCTGACTTCCTAATCTTAAGTGTGGCTTGATCTACCCCCCAACTCCTGTGCTGTGCTTTTCCCTTTCCTTCCTATTTTGTCTTCCAATTCTATTTCTTTGTTTTTGAGCTACCTCAAATCCTGTCTGGAAAGATATGAAACATAAACAAACTGAAAAAAAGCAAATACACACAGAAACAGAAAACAGCATTTATCAGATATACACTTAAATTTATTTTAAAGTATAACATAGATTTGGTGGCTGAAGATCACTGGCAGCAATGCATTATTAAATGATTAATTATGCAATATATTTTTTAAACTTACCCGTCTGTGCCTTTCTCTGTCTTTACATTTCTCTCGCACCCAATCAATAGTATGGAAATCATCATATGTACCAACACCCGGAATTGGTTCATCCAGAAGATCCAGTAAATGTGTAGAACTATTAATGCTGCCTCCATTTGTCATTGTATAATGAGTTCCTACAGAGCAGGAAAGAAAAAATGAATATGTTTTATAAAAGATAACAGGGAGTTTTGTAACTTTCTTATCAGTTCATAGATAAATCATATAGAAATAATATCACTTGAAATAATTTCAATAAAAGAGGAAATGTTCAGAAAAATTACCCAAAACTTAGAAATAAGGCAAAAAGATTCATGTCCTTTCACAGCCATATCGTAATTATCAATCAGCAGCCTGCCTAATTGTCATCTGGTGTTCTGGAGAAGAGAATTTTAGATGTCTTAAGGGATAGACTATAGTTAGAAAATGCCTTGTAAAAGACTAATGAATTGAAAGTGATGATTTTCATCTGGTAAAATGCAAATGGATTCTGTCCAATAGGGGAAAAAAACTCCTTGGAGTTGTAGTGTTTTTTGGGGTTTTTTTTTTTTTGTGTGTGTGTGTGTGTGCATGCCTTGTAAGAAATTTCTTTCATTCACTGACTACCATTTTTAGTTTCACACACCCTCCTTTGAATCAGCTTTGTTATAATGCTAGTTCCTTTACTAGAGGCAAATAAAACTATAGTGAACATGTGTTCCCTATATATTTTATATGAGTATGATGAATGTAAGGAAGGTTCTAGGACAGACATTAAAAGGTACTCCAACAAAAAGAAATATAGGTTGAGATGTAATTCAGTGTTAGGATCATGGGATGGATCCACAGCACTGCAATAAATAAATAAATTAACAAATGGGAGAGAGGGATTGGGGGGGAACAGATGGCTTTTAAATATGAAAATAAGTTCAATCTAACACATAAAAAGAAAATCAAATACACTATATCATTTTTTAACCATGAGACTGGTAAAAAATAAAAAGAAAGTGTATGAATGCATGGAATCAGCAAAGTTATGAAGAGGCCTTTAGTAATTTAAACATAACTAGTCACAAAATTGGTAATTTAAGTATAAACTGTTAGAAACCCTTTGAGAAGGGAAAAGCTACCCAAATTTAATATACACAGATAGCAAACTCACTCCTATAAAATTTTCCCACAGTTATACTCACAAAATTCTTAAATAAATCCATAAATTATGCATGGTATGGGTAGAATATTGTACTATGCACTATAAATGGAAAAAATACATTAATGTTAAATTGCTTATAATCTGATACAGAGGTCAGCCAGGACTCTGGGAATAAATATGTTAGGTTCTAAAGTCCACATAGTTGCAACTACTCAACTCTACAATGGAAACACAAAAGATATCAGAAATATGTCAATGAGTATGTATGAATGTGTTCCAATAAAATGTTTTTGAAGGGTAAGATGGGACATATGGGCTATAGTTTGTCAACCCCTGATCTAAAATTTATACAGCACAAACCAAACTCAACTGAAGACATTTATTAATTATTTATATAAACGGCACTCTTCTACTTAGCTTGACAGATACAAAGATACTGGGCAAAAGTCCTTATTTTAAGGCATAATCCAATTTATAAAGTTCCAATATTGAAGCATTATAAAACAAATTTTAATCTTATTACTTATATTTATTTTGTTATTAAAAATAGGGGATACTATAGTATCTCAAACTAAGTGGGATTAATTTAAGAAAATGTCCTAAAGAATATGAATTTTAAATGGTAATATGAAGTTATTAGGCTTTGGTTTCACTATGAGAATTATAAATATACATTTTAAGTTAGATACTTTTATTCCTATTTCTGAAAAGAAGAAACAAATGATGTGAATATGGTCTATAAGAGATAGTTAAATATTACTGTTAGAAAAAGAATTTGAAGATAAAAACAGGGTAAGAAATATTATAATTCAAGAGTGAAAATTATTGGATTTGACTGTAAAAAAAAGATGGATATGATCATTTGTAGAGGCAATTAGAAAGTGCTTATCAAAACACAAGATTCCTACTTCTAGGAATTGATTAAACAAGTGCACAAAGACTTAACATTTCACTGAAAGTGAATACTGTACTAGTAAACTTAAATGTGTATTTGCTTTTATCTAACAGTGTTCTCTCTTATCTCCCTATTTAACACATTTGAATGTTTGCCTTGGGAAGGTGTAAGACTTCTAAAAGGAAAAGAGTATATTGATTTCAGTGTTCTGGCAGAAGTACTCCAGGAATAAATAATTTACCAATCTTGGCTAAAGGTTTAAAGGCCCAATCCCTGCACTGCAATGCCCATGTTCGTTACATAAAACATACATTCAAACCTATACTTAAAGCTTAAAACTCTTCCCCACCTCTATCCCATCCTGATTTCATTCAATAATTTTTACTTTGTAAAAGCCATTTTAAAGGCTATAAATTTTCTTAAGCAAAAGCAATTGGAAAATAAATATAATAGGAAGACTCGTAATATACCAACAAATATCTGTTTTCCATATGATAATATGGAACTTAAAAATATTTTTGGAAGAAAGAGTCAAGAGCCTTTTATAGTTTTCTGTTAGGATATAAAGTATTTCTGCAGTATTCTGGTCAAAATATGCATAAACTCAATCTTATAAGGAAAAAAACGGGTATGCCCAAACTGAAGAAAATTCTACAAAATAAGTGGCTGGTAGTCTTCAAAAATTGGTCAAAGTTAAGAAAGATAAAGAATAACTGAGGAACAGTTCTAGATTAAAGACTAAAAGAGACATGACAAGTAACTGTAACAGTGTTCCAGAATTAGATCCTGGAAAAAGACATGTCTTTCCTTTCAAACGAAAGGACATGGTGGTACAACAGAAATATTGGAAAAATTCTATAGATCAAATACACTCAATTTTCTGACTTTGAAAACTGTTTGATGGCTATCTACAAGAGATTTTTCTTCCTTGAGGAAATATACACTTAAATATTTTAAGGTAAACGTGTATTATCTTTTTATTTTACTCTTTACATTATTCTGAAAAAATAATGTAGTGAAAAAATACATAGCTGTAGATGCACTATTATCTATATAAAATGCTATATGTTATATATGGTAGCATATAATACTGAAAGAAAGAACAAAAGAGAATAAACAAATGTGGTAAAATGTTAACATTTTGGAATCAGGGTGAAGGACACCTGAAAACACTATTATTTTTCAGTCCTTGTAAGTCTGAAAATGCCTTTATTTTTTCAATGTTGAGGATTGTCCATGCTTAACAAATGCTCTACTATTGAACTATATTCCCAACCCTGAAATTACTTTCTTAAAAGGACTCTCACGAAATGTTCTGCAAATTTCAACATTTCTCAAACTTCTGATCTTTTTAGTTTTCCATGCAAAAACTAAAAACTTCTATACTCCTCAATACATAGCCACAATACATGGCCAAATTATACACAAATGTTAAAATAAGCAAAGTTTTTGGGAAGGGGGTGGTACCAGGGATTGAACTCAGGGGCACTCAACCACTGCGCCATATCCCCTGACCTATTTTGTATTTTACTTAAAGACAGGGTCTCACTGAGTTACTTAGCACCTTACTTTTGCTGAGGCTGGCTTTAAACTCAAACCCTCCTGCCTCAGCCTCCCAAGGTGCTGAAAATAAGTAACAGTTTAAGATACAAATTACCCAACTTAACTTCTCAACTTCAATATGCATGAAGCATATCTTTTAGGTAGTCCATATGCACAAATTGAAATTCTCTCTCATGTAACATGCACCTTTCCTTCTTTCCTAAAACAATATTCCAAGATTTGGTTAATTAGGAAATGATATGGCTTTACTAAAACTGATACATGGAAGGGAGCTTTGGCAAGAGGTCTTCAAGAGAATACACAGGTTTTGAGATCACTGCTTCCCTGATGATGGCTTTCTTTGTCCTCAGTAAAAGCTCTTCTTACAGTTGAATTTTATTAACATAAATGACAGGATTTGCAGGGGATTGCCCATTTTTTGATACATATATAGCTCGAACTTACTTACCTGTGACGACATTAATGGAGGATGTAGTAGAATACCTTTTGGAAATAAAGATTAAAGGTTCCTTAGCCCACAGTATTTCCTGATTCTGTCCACATCCCCCAACCAATTCAGTCCAAGACACCCACTATCATAGGTAAAGTTCAATGCAGGCTATAGAGAACAAGATTTAATATTATCATTTCCACATTTCAAATTAAGGCCTCTGAAACCCATACAAAAGACAAAAATCGTCAAAGCAAATATACTTTTGAGTTGTAGGAGATGGGTTTCTGGTTTTCAAAAGGCTTTAAGTAAAAGGCTTAAAGTTTCTAAAATAAATCAGATGAAGAAACAATTTTATGCAACTACATAAGGTCTGCTGGGGAGGGAAAGAGAGAAAATCGAGTAAACAAGAGAGATACAATCATTTAACTGGGAAATTGGCTTCAGTCTTCTACATTTTCCATAAGTAAAATACATGAGACCACAATATATTATTAGCTGCAGTTGTTTATAAATTGTTTTATTTTTTCCACTCATTTTTTTTTTTTTTTTGGTACTGGGGATTGAACAGAAGGGTGCTTTACCACTGAACTACATCCCTTTATCTATTTTAAGTTGTTGATGATCTCCTTAACTCACTGAGGCTAGCCTTGAACTTGTTATCCTCCCCCTTCATCCTCCTGAGTCCCTGGGATTACAGGTGTGCGCCACTATGCCATGCTTCATTAAATGCACATGCACATCATTTTTTGTGATTTCAAATTACTATATTCAATTGTTTTGACACACTATAATTTACTAAACAAATCTTTAGGATTAGTATGTCATTACAAACAATACCTGAAATGTTTGTATCTGCTTAGTCATCCTCTTTTTAAAAAATGTTTATGCATTTGCCATCTACAATTTTTTTGGTATACCTTTATTTATTTATTTATATGTGGTGCTGAGGATCAAATCTAGCGCCTCACACATGCTAAGCGAGCGCTCTACTGCTGAGCCACAACTCCAGCCCCTAGTCATCCTCTTTTCCAATTCATGTTGAACATATTAAGTCTTTTTGCAGTTGTTCTTAATAGTTTTTACCAACCCCACTATCAGATATTCAATATTAATA